GCCCGCGCGCCGGCTCCGCTACCTGCGGCGGGGCCGCCCCCGCCCGCGCCTCAGAGCGCCGCTACCGCCGGGCACCGCACAGCACAGCACACCATACACCGTACACTGTACACCGTACACTGTACACCGTACAGCACCGCACCGGGCCGGACCCGGCCGGGGACACCGCGGACACAGCAGCGGGGACAGCGCCGGGCGAGGCCGATGCGGCGGCGCGGGGCCTGCGGGCTTGGGCTGGAGCAGTCTGCAGGATGTGCCCCACCGCCAGCGCCAGAGCTTCCAGGTCTCTATCTCTCCCTTCCAKGCATGGGGATGGGGAGGTGCGGGATGCGAGTCCTGGAGCACATGGGCGGTGGAAGTCGCGTTTGCCTTGGGCTGGAGGGAGAGGAGGGAGCTGCGGCTGTCTTGTGTTGTTTCCCTRGAATAAAATTTATAGGCTTCTGTTTCTCTGCGGGTTGTGATAGGCGTTTTGTGAGCGATTCTGTCTTTTCATGCTTGGAGTGATGTGAATGCAAACCAGATACGGCTTCTGYTGTTGCTGCCAAAACCTTTCTGTTTCCTTCAGCACTACTCACTAAAAAGGCTTTCCTTTCTTTTTCTTTATACTGAGCTTTGTTTTATATTTATTTTTCTAATTCAGTAGGTAAGATCAAGATACAAGGCTGCTGGAGGAACGATGTTTATTTTACAGCTCTCTTTAGTTAGGGAAATGATTTGGAAATGTTCTTAAAATTACTGGATTTAAGTAAACAGCTCTGCGGTGGAAAATGACTGGCTTTGTCTCGTTCTGGGGAAAAGRGTAGATAAAGATGTATATTTGTAATTTTTCTGAAGGTAACTCGTTGAGATAAGTGCTCTTTTATGCTTCTGAAGTGGATACATGTTTTTAAACTGCAGCTTACAAARGGGCGGTACAGATTCATTTTAGAGGGGGTGTTTTTTATGCAGACTGTTGTTCCATCTGTTATGCGGCAGTGAGGTTACTGTCTCCCTTTAGGATCATGCAGCAGGRAACCTTGAGCTATCTTCCAAGCTCTCTGCTTGCCAAACTCAGGGCATTTCTTTTAAGAGGTCAAATTGCAGCTGGAGAGTTAGTGCATGAAAGCATTTTGATGCATTGTCTGCTTCCGTGGGGTTGATGAGAAATGAGCTCATCCCTCCCCTAGTTTCCTGCAGCTTCTTGAGGTTTAGCATCCTTCCTTCCTTAGAGTTCCATTAAATTGCCCAAATGATAGACAGGCAGTTAGGAGCASGATGTAGGAAGACCAAATGTGGTAGCAGAAACTTCCTTTTATTGAGYAGAATGGRCTRAAAGTGTTCAATTTTGTTTGCTTTGCATACATCAGAAGTGAAACATGCCAAGCCTGCTGCAGAGTTGGATTATTTGGAGGGCAAGTTGTTTAAATAAGAGACCCTGGAAGACTTTAGTCCTTGAGTTATGATAAAGGATAAATAACTAAAAAGACCCAGACAGTGCTTCAAACTTGTCATGGTATAATTTTCAAATTATGAGTGTGTCTGAATGAAAGTTGCTCAGATAGGTCAGGTTAAAGCACCTCCAGCAGGCATATCCAGTGCACCGAAACCACACAACTGCAATTGGACAGAGGACTTCAGGATCATTGAGAAGTCTTCCGTATTACAAGCAGCTCTCACTGATAATGTCCTTGATAAATTATTAAGGACTTCCTTAAAATTTGTGTAGTCTGTTATTTTCCATTACTCCTATGAGAAGGCTRTTCCTTTGCTGCTCAGGAATCTTTTGCCCGTAGTCCCTCTTTGTTTATGTCCATTTTTTCCTGTGTGCTAGCATTGTGTGTTTGTTTGAATTGTTTGGGTTTGGCTTTGGTGTTTACATGTTTGGTGTATCTAAGGACAAATTCTCAAACCCTTATTTTGCAAAGCTGGACAAGCCAAGCTCTCTGTTCCTCTTCAGAGAAGCTCTTCCTTCACTCATCCCATCAGCACTTTGTGACTTCTTAGGTCCTGAAGTCTTAGGTTCAGAACTTAAGCATTGAAATGGTTTCCAGCAATGGTTCTTTTCTGTATTGCAATTTCATTTTTAGCCTTTTCTTTATGGGRGGCTTTTGGCATCTCCTCTTGTTTCTGTAGGCTCAAGTGTGATTTTACCATGATGTCTTTGAGTGTTAGATGATTGTGTGGTAAAAATGCTGCTATACTWTTTACATTGTTCCACAATTACCAGTTGTTCAGTGCTATTCTGCATAATTCAGATGTAATGTGAAACATCTTGGCTGTGTAAGTCTGCTGTTTTCCTTAGCCCAGTAAAGATTAATGCTATGCCCTGCCTTTTCTGACCATTTCTTTTAGGGAAGATATTTTCCTCAAACTTCCCACATGAGGGGAAAGACCTAATTTATTTTGGCTTCCTTGCAGGGGCTCAGGAATATCCTCCACTTGTGCTAGGTGTGCACACCCAGCTGGTGATGGGTGATGTGGTGGTGCACTGTGCTTTCTTCCTCCCTTCCTGACTGGTGTGGCTCTTCCTCCAAGTGCTGGAGTGGTGCATTGAGGGCTTCCTCAAGTGTGGATCTGTGGGCYTGGGGAGGAGGATTTTCCCAGAAAAGAACGTTTTTTCCCCAGAATGAGACAAAGCCAGTCATTTTCCACCRCTGAGCTGTTCACATGCAGTAATTTTAAGAACATTTCCTAATCATGAGAAAGGGGAAATGTGCAGTGGGGGAGTTTTGAGTATCGGCTGTCTGCTGTTATGCTGCAGCTCATTCACTGTGGTTATGGGTTCAGCAGATGCTCTGGAGTGGCTGACACCAGCTTCTGAACACCCAGAGCAGGCAGGCCACTGTTTCTTACACAAGCAGCATGGAAGGGAAAACTGGGATTTGCTCCAAAAGAAAAAGGGATGAGAGGGGGCTAAAAAGCTTTGTTTGTAAGAAATAAACTTAACTTTTTAATACCACGCTCTTCACAACAGCAATAATGATTCACCCTTTTCTTCTGCTAAGCTGGGACACTGACTTTCTGTGGCTCATTGGGAATCAGAAAAATTCCAAATTCAGATACTGCTTTTGTCTACTACAGTGCATCAGCAGCCCACTTAAGTGTTGAAGTACGTCTTGTTGATGTTTCTTGTGTTTATGTTTCATTTATGGTTTTTTGCTGTTACTCACTTGAGTGCACCTTAAAGAGGTTTTGCAGAAAAGCCTGAAAAGTTTGACTGGGAAGAGGGTGCCAAGGTAGAAGTATAATTAAGAGAGTTATCCCTGTTTTGAACATTGAATTGTCATCAAGAACCTCAGGAAGCGTTCCTTCCCAATAATATTATTTTAGCAGGCACTGTTAATGTCCAAAAAGCTTCCTGTGAATGCTGCTGAAAGGAAGTKATGGTGTTACACTCTGAATATCTCTAGTTAAGCTGATWATTGGACTGTATTTGAGCTRGAACCATTTTTTTGATGTTCTATCTGGATGACCCAAGGTTAAKAGYAAGTTGTSRCTTAATTATGTGTATCCTTCCTAAAGGAAAAGAGTGCTCAAGTAGACACAATTATGTGAGATTGTTAATGATTTCATGAATTGGTGGTTGATGTTGCAAAGAGGGTATAAGAATGACCCATTAAACAATTAGAGGAAAACACAAGCAGAGTGTCACAGCACAAGGAAGGAAACACTGTGATGCCTGAGGGTGCTTGAGGGTGCTTTTGTTGCTTGGTGGTATTCTTGGCTCCAGGCAAAATAATTTTCACCTGTCATCCTGTTGGTGTCTTTGAGAGTTTCTGTCAACTGCTCTGAAATTCTCATTTGCTCCTTGTTTCACTTTTTACTACCAATTGTATCCATACAACTAGGGTTCAGTAATAAGTTCTCATTTTCTTGGCAGATCTTGACCAAAGGAACTGCAGATTGTGCTCACAGCATTGTTTTTCATTTTTATTGTCTGATTAAAAAGCCTTTCCAGCCAAAGTTCATTTTGTAAGATGCATTGTGCACTAATGCAATCAACTTCCTGTTGCAGGTGCTTATAACCGTATTATAGGCAAAACCTTTCCTGCCATCACAGATGTATTCTTCAATTAACCAAAACAGGTGACTGTTCATTAGAACAGGTGTCAAATACTTTTTTCATTCAATAGTAATAGGTCCTAAGCAGATAATATTCAAAGAAAGTTTATCAAGTATATAAATATGTTTAAAGTGCCAACTTTACTGTGGGATTTATCTATATAGTGATAGATGAAATAACTGACAAAARTCTCTAATTTTTAAATTTAGCTTCACATTTTTCCTCTGATGAGAAAATGTCAGTCCCTAATCTGCAGCAGCTTCCTGGACGCTGTCTCATGTCTTGTGATAGGAAATGGTAGGATGATGATCAGGAGATTTGARGATAAACAACCAACAGTGAATACATTGCTACAAATTATAACACAAGAGTCTCTCATGTTATAGTATGTTCCTCGTAGGTCTCCCTCATATCATTAATATCACTGGATTTTTTTTCCAAATGCTTGTGTTTTTAAAGGATTTTCGTCATGTACCATTAAACAAAAATCCTTTGAGAAGGTATTTCAATGTTCATTTTGTCATAGGAGGAGATTTTTCCRATCAGAAATAGTTCCTTTGGGATAACTTACCTGTTTTTCTCCTTTCCCCACTTTTCCTGAGGATTTTGTAAATATGGGCAAATGGGCAATGCAGATAAAAGGGTTTTTACTTTCCTTGTATAGATTTTTAAATACAGTTTTAACATCTGGGCAGTTTGTTAGCTTTTCTGTTTAAAATTCAGCTTAAAAATTTGGATTCACTTCTGCAGAAGTCATTGGAAAGGTGAACCTCAYGAAGCCATCAAGGTCCTGCACCTGTGTCGGGGCAATACCAAGCACAAATCCAGGCTGAGCAGTGAATGGATTGAGATTAGCCCKGAAGAGAAGGACTTGGGGGAGCTGGTGAATGAGAGGCTGGACATTACCTGGGGCACGGAGTGACAGGATAAGTGGGAATGGGTTCAAACTGACAGAGGGCAGGGTTAGGTTGGATATTAGGGAGAAATTCTTCCTTGTGAGGGTGGTGAGGCCCTGGCATAGGTTGCCCAGAGAAGTTGTGGCTGCCCAGTTTCTGGAAGTTCTCAAGGCCAGGTTGGATGGCCCTTGGAGCAGCCTGGTCTAGTGGAAGGTGCCCCTGCCCATGGCAGGGATTTGGGAGTGGATGATCCTGTGATTCTGTGACAGTGAGGCTGTCCTTCACTGCACTACACTGGAGTCCCTCTTCCTAGAGGCTGTTCATCTATTTTCCACATTGATTGTTTTTTAAAAACAAATTCTGCATGTGACAAGAGAGTATGCTTCAAAATAGTTTTTGTATTTTAGAAATACTCTGTGTTTTGGACAGATAAAAATAACTCTGATTGCAATTGTAAGGCAGCAGTTTGAGTGCACACTTGTGTCTGTGGAGTCCTTTGTGTATAATGGGGTGCAGAACTAACACTCTTTAACTTCAGCATTTTCTTTTTTTTTTTTTTTTTTTTTGCATTACCGTTTTTCTCCCCAGTTGTTATTGGGATGACACTTGATCTACTGTTGGTTTAAAAAAATTTGCTTGTCATGTTTTATGGAAGCAGATGGTGGTTATTTGTAAAACGTGTTTTTTATGGTTTATTGTTTCCAATGAAGAGATGATGACCCCCCTTTGAAAGCATGGGAGGGATCTGAAGGTATCATGCTTTGATAGGAGACTTGTGAGGGAGAGTTCCCAAGTAGGGACACYCTAAAGCTGGTTGTTTCCACTGCTTCTGGTGATACTGTGAGAGGGAAAAGCTTAAGCACAAGTATTACCTTCTGCTTGTGTGGGGTTGTGGTTTTGGGGTCTTGATGGGAGCGTGGTGTATGCATCACTGCACTCATGTGCAGGCTGCTCTGCTCCTGTCTGTGCCTGCTGAGAGACCTTGGCTTTGTCTTTGGGTAAATCCAGGTGCTGTACATAACCAAATGYGTTTTCCAGGGTGTGGCAGTGGTTATGTATACAACGTGATACATGCTGCTTTTTAGCTTCTAGCATTCCCACATAAAAAGTCTTCCTGAAGGCTTAAATGAATTGCTTCTGAAATATTCCAAGTGTGGAAATGTTGTCTGCTTAAGAATAACAATGAGACAAAAGTAAATCATGGTGAAAAGAATAACACCACAAAAAGCTTTGGAGTATATTATATTAATGGGCAATTTAGCTTTAGCAGCAGCTTTGCGCAGATCACTTAAGTTCAGTACATGAAACAAATTTAAATCCCCCGAGTCTTCACTAATTGCACCACAATGAGTAGCTATAGAAACGTTAATGTAAAATGTGATTGTAATACAGCAGTACTACTGAGCTGTGTTTCATACACAAATTGAGATATTTGCATTTATGATTCTCAAAACAACTGCAGCAGGGCCCTTTCTGAAAGAGTGTAATGGTGTTTATATGCAACATCTCTTTGGTCCCCTTGGGATCCGGGCTGCTATGGTTCTCTCTGCAAATTCAGAGATTTTCCTTTTTTTTTTTTTTTTTTTTAAATTCAGGAAGACTGTGGGAGAAGTGCACTCTAAGGTGTTTATTACTGCTACCTTGCTCTTTTGAGCATTCTTACACCATTGCAGCCTGTGGAAGGGACTTGAATAAGAGTGCAGGATCCAATCCTGATTAACTTCTAAAAAATGCTGTGCTGGACAGATACATTTTGACTTATGTATTGATTTGGTCTATATGTATTGATTTGCTTTTCATCTGTTGTGGCATAACTGACAAAAGTCAAAGGAAATGAAAACTGACATCATATCAGTTGCTTGTTTATATAACAAAAAAGAAAAAGCTTTGTGCATACTGTTAGTTGGACTTGAATCACCTCAGGACATCCTTTCCATTCTCTGTTTCATTGTTTCTTTTTGCACATCCAGGATGAGTGAAACAGGGAACAACTGGAATTTATTTTGCTTAGAGGCGGGGAAGACTTTCTGATAGCACTAGCTTACTGCAGTCTTGCATTCCTGTTTAATTCCCTTCTGTCTTAATCACTCTCCACCTCTTCAGTTCCTTCTCCATCTTTCAGATCTCTTGCAGCCTGGTACCAAGTCTGACTGATTCTTCTGTGCAAAATTTGTTCTGACCTGGGTTCCTATGGACTGTGATCAAGTTACTTCTTTATATTTACCCGAGAAAGAATTATTACRTGCATTGTTCTCTGGTGAAAATAGGTGAAGCTTGTTTCCGGCTTTTCCGTTTTTAACAAAGAAAAGCCCCATTTTGTGCTTGTCCCCAGCTGTGTTTGTGGAGATCTTTGGGACTGACAGATGTAATTTCTGCCTTGTTTTGTGCTATAGCAGTGTTTAGTGGTCACGTCCCTGCCGTAAGCCACCGGTGCTGGTGAGTGATCCYTTCCCTTTCCCAAACACTGCTCAGTGCTTCTTGTTTGTGCTAGTGTGAGACAGTCTCCCCTGAGGAGATCTGATGGAATGTACTCTCTGTTCTATGTGGAGCAATCCTGGAGCTTCCACATGGTCTGCAGGCCYTGTTCACTCTGCAGCATCCTCTGATCACCACTCCTCTTGTGTGCTGGAGTGATCTTGCTCCATGAACTGTGGCTGCTCCCTGTGCATCCTGACAATGGGATCTCCATGGATACCTGTCATCTCCAAGGTGTGTCATTGTGAAGGAACTGGATGACAGCTGCTGATTTGACTTGTCTGTRTATGTGGCAGGAAAGATGTGTGCCATACCTGGAATAAAATGTGATTGTACAAGTCCTGCAGGGTTGGCACTGAACATCTCAAGTAGTGCAGTTCAACTTGGTGACCCATAACTGACCCTGGGATATGATCCTTGTAACAATTTTTTGGCGTATTTACCCGTGTTGGATGTAGGTGATCTGCTGCAAATATTAGCTGAGAGCAAACTGGGCTTGTGATATGGGTGATTGGGGTGGTGATGTCAACACCCAGTTTTGCTCCCCAGTGCTGGTTTTATTCAGTGCTATAGATGCAGCCAGTAAAGATGAGGTGTTGCTCTGAGAAAATGAGGAGCTTTTAAGGCTTGATATGTTTTCTCTGAGCTGCTGTCTTGTCCTATGTCCCCATGCCCTGACAGGTTGTGCGGTAGTCAAGAGCTGGATTTGATTTCCAGCTTAATGTCTAGAAGTCTGGGGGACTGTGAGGGGTCACTTATCCTCCCTTAGGTTTCAATTTACCCTGTTCCAAGACAGCTGTAATCATATTGACTGCAGTTTTTACAGTGCTTTCCGATCTACTAAAAGGGGCTGCTGCAAAGGCCTGCAAATAGATGTGACAGCTCAGAGTCTGCAACTAGTAAGTGCAGCCAGGTGGGGAATTTGAGGTTCTTGGGTATGCCACAAAAACCAAGTTACTTGTGTTTGAGGTAAGTGATTACGTTTCCTGCTAGCAAAAAACATTAGGCTTTTTCTGCCTTGCTCTGTTTTGTGGGTTGTGATCATTTGCATGTGACCCTGAAAGCATCACTTGACTCTTGTCTGCTCTTCAGAGGACTTCAGATGCTCTAGTCATCTTCATCTCTTCTTGTCCTGCTCTGTCTCACAATGGCTTTTGGCCTCTGACCTTCTACTGTGATTATCAAATTCGTTACTTAGAAATTATGTTTGTGCAAAGCAATTGACTTTGAATCATATCAATTAGATAGCCCTGAACTTGCAGTGGACTGGATTTGAGATCTGGAGGGAATACCTCTGTCTTCTCAGCTCCTTCATCCTGGTGTTTAAGAACATCATTTGTTTGTCCAATCAGTGTTTTCAAGTGGCAATACAGGCTGGTTCAAAWGGGTCATATCACCATATATAATAARAGGAAGTGGAAAATAGAATGAGGAAGGCTTTTTTTCCATAGAAAAAAAAAGCCTTTGCTTAGCCTTGCTCTTTTTAAAAAGTTCTTGTGACAAAACTCTTGGCAGGAGAGCAGGTGAAGTGAACATCTTTGCAGTGGAGAGCAGAGGGGGTCAAGTGCTGAGATCAAAGGGAAGGAGTGGAGCTGAAATCCTCCCCTGTGGAGGAGCAGGCTGCACCTTTCCATGGCTGRCTGATCAAAGGGAGTGCTGCTTCAGGTGGGTAGGGCAGGAAAAAACCCTTGTCTGTGTTCCTTCTCCCTGGGAAAACCACCAGGCTCATGGGTAGGCTCTTCATGGGGATTCCATTCTCATGCCTTTGGTTATGGGCAGCAGACTGTGAGAAGCTGATGTGCCAGCCTGCATTTTTCTTTCCAAAGTCAGTATTGGAGTGTGCTGATAGAAATGATGGAGCAGCGAGATTGCTTCTTGTCAGCTGATGATCAGAGCCCTGCCCATCTGTGAGGGACCACTGCGCTTTCCTGCTGGGTTTTCTGAATTTGGTGCAGGGAGCTGCTGCTGTGCTTCCCAGCCTTCTGGTCCTGCTGTGTGCCAGGAAGAAATTCCCTCCTCATTCTCTTGCTGTTGAAGTTGCTGCCATGTTGTTGGGGCTGCTGAAGATGTCAATGGGAGATTCAGACCAGTGATGATGAGACAGGTTTGTTTGGCCTTGGGGAAACTTGGRAGCTGATTTGAAACGTGGGCTTCGGTTTTGTGGATGGTTTGTACAGGTTCTGCATGCTGAGAGCATCCTTGAAGCCTAGTGGGAAGCATAGCATAGGGATTYGATTTTGAATCAGGGATCCTGAATACCCTGAGCATATTGTTTAGATGGTTTGACCAGATCRAGCAAAAGCGTTTGACAGTAACTGATGTAATTGTCATTTATTAGACTCCAGGTTTATGAAAAATGCAAAAACCAATACCTGGCAACATTTTTAGAATCATGTTTTGGTGATGCAGCTGAAATGAGTGAGYTCTTGATCACATGGAGGTCAAGAGCAATTCAGTATTCCAGACACYATAACTAAGAATCACAGTCTTCTCTAGGAAACAAAGTTGTCAAACTCCATGTGTGTCTTGTGAACTTTTCTTCAATTCAGCAAAAGTTGTGATAACTTTTTCTTTCCTTTTCACAGCTATGCTGAGTGACAATAACTCTGTGAAGCTAAAAAGTGACCGTTTACCTCCTGTGCAATGGTTTAAGGTGGCTGCACATGAAGATGAGAAGACCAAGCTGGTTTTTAAAAGGTACTCGCAAGTAAGTGTCATTGTCACAGCTACACAGACGACAGTTGTTCTCCCCTCAGCCTGGGCAGTTCCAAAAAAAGKATGCAGAAATCAAGGCATGGGATTGCCACAGATACTCAGTGGAGGGTTAGCCACACAGCTTTTTCTGGGACACTGAAAACACTTTGTGGAGCCTAGGCTAACTTGTTTAGTATCTGTTTTCCCATTCCAAAGTGAGATCCTAGTACTTCACTCACAAGTATTTTCTATCTCTTTTTGTATGCCGATAAGTAACAACGTTGAGACTTTTGTACAGCCTGATAAATTAATGAATTGAAGGCWGGTGGATGTTGAGTGGGTATCCTGGGGAGGTGTTTCCATATAGTTACTTTGTTGTGAAGACTTCTGGAATGCTATGTCAAAAATCTGACTCCATTGTTTATAGCTTGACATCAARTTAGAATTAATAGGTGTGTGCACATGTTGATCCAGGACCATATTTTACACCAAAATATTCACTACATTGATGCCACATGAATTTTAGGTCTGAAAGCTTAAAAACCCTAAAGTCAAACCATTATATYGCCAGGTAGATATGACCTGAATGTAGCAGCCCCAGCTGAGTCTGGGGACAYCTGATAAACTTCTGGAAGAAAATCAGCCTCATTTGTCAGCTGTGAATCCCCTGCTTTCTGCCTGTTGGCTGATCTCCAGGGGTTGCAGCCTAACATGCTAATGAAGCTCTTAGTTCACCTATCAGTGGAAAATGTAATTTCATTAAGATGTGAGAACAGTGCTGCTTTTCCAGTGGTCACCTTGTTTGCAGCCTGTACTGCACACTGAGCGCTAGGATTGCATCTATTAGTTCATATAGCACAAAATTAAAAAAAAAAAAATTGGAAATCTGTATTAACTTAAGGAGTTTCAAGGAGGTTTGGGCACTTAATAACTTGTATATTTTTTAAAGACATTTAAACAAATGACCAGTCTTTAGGAAACAATAGGAAATGAAAATSAGTAATAAAACTCAAACAACATACTTGAGCAACAACCACAACTTTAACCAAATAATGATGTAATTTTCTACAGCTGGGTTTAGACATTAACTAAATCAATTATTTGGACATCAACAGTGGTATTCCTTAGGAATGAGAAATTAGATCAAAAATATAAATAGTCTATGTTTTTCMATTTTAAAGTTGGTTGGACTTTTTCTTTTGCATGTTTTGGGGGTGTAAGTAACTAAGGCTTCTTAGTATAAACCTGAGCATCTATGGTCTGYGTTCTAGCCTGCCAGCAAGTTGAAAGTGTTGTTTCAGTGGTTGCCATTGGCCCAAAATGATGCAATTTGCAGTTTCAGCCTTTTTTTTTAGCTTGCATGGAAATATGTATTCCCATATAGAGTTGCCCTTTAAAGAAGAAAAAAAGAAGGAACTCTTGATTTTGTTATTTGAGGAGAGCTGTTTGACTCACCAGAGATGCATTAAAAGTATATGATGTAGGCATTTTCCTTATCCAGGCATTATATGTGTTCATACCTTCCTGCAGATAACTCTGAAGAGTTATGAAAGACTTGAAGTGAGTAAAGCTGTAGGGTTTTTTTTTTGTTTGTTTTATTTAAATACAAGTATTCACATGAAGTTCAACTCTCTTAAATTTGCTTTAAAATATTGATTAAATAGTTGATTGAACATTGGAATTTGTTGTTGTTGTTGTTGTTGTTTTTCCCTCCTACCCCTCACTGTTCTTTTTGTTTCTAGAATCCTTGCACTGTTTGTGGTTGGAGGGTGCTTCCTTTATATCCTCAAGTTACATTTTGACCCTGAGGAATGTGACAGAACAAAAATGCCGTATGTGGACCTTGATCGTGTGAGGGTTGGTATTTTTTGGCTTTTTTTTCCACTTGGCTTAAAAAAAAAAAGTTATTAATTGACAAGGCAACAGTTGCAGGGCTCTAAAATTAAGAACTAGAATACTGAAATTATCCTGTGAGCAAAAACGTATTTTGCCTAATTTTGTGCCATAGARATTCTGGGTTTTGTTTTTGCAGAGTGACAACAGAAGCATATAGAGAAACTGGGGTTTTAGGGGTAAAATTAGAATTCAACATTTGAAATGGACATGTCATCATACCATTGTGTCAGTGTAGATGACACAGGTGATCAGAGAATGGATGCAAATGAAAAGTAACATATTTAAAAAAAACAAAACAACCCAAACCATCATGTTAAACATTAGGTTTTTTTTTTTTCCTTTTTTCACTTAAGGCAACTTCCCAGTCTACTTTGCCTTGTAGCTGCTCAGATGTTTTTGGAATGGGGCAAATGTCCAGGAGGGTGCACCTACTATTTCATTTCTTCATTTAAGATAGCAGCAGCCTACTTAGCTACTGTTTTGCGTGTGACTTTTAAACAAGTGTAACAGACACCACTGAWGCCTTTGCCACTTATCCTATTTTCACATTATAACAGAACTTACCTGGACTAGAGCTGACATTTCTGTCATTTAATGTCTCAATGCTAAGATGCAACTTTGAGCAGAAACCCTGATTTAAGACAATCTCATCTTGGCATTACTGCATCTTCCCCTACTTCCCATCATCTYCAGTGCATATCTTTCCCTTTTTGAGCCTCTTTGCCTGCCCTTTTTTCTCATTTGACTTACTTATTWTTTTGATAACATATTCTTGATTCTGAAGAACAACCACTTTAAACCAAGCAAACCTAAAGACTCTGTGGGCTGTTGTTTGTTGCCGTGTCATCATTCATTCATTACTCTGCTCTGGTTAGGTAGCAGCTAATTTCAAAGTGTTTGGGGCAATTGTCAAGTGATTTGCCTTGTTTTTTACTGATAGAATGTGCAAATGTCAGCCTTAAAATGAGGCTCTTCCTGATGCACTGACTCTTACCAGCAAAGTACAGCATGAAGTTGCTCAGTCATGCTTTTTCCAGTGTGGTGTTTATGCCCAAACTTGCAGAAATCTTCATAATGGTGGGAGAGGAAGTTCTGTAGGTCTGTCTTGATTTAAAAAAAAAAACCCCAAAAACCAGCAGTAGAACTTCCCTCCTTGTGTCCCCAGACACACACTACTCTTCTTAWTAGTACAAGAGAACTAAATTAGCACTAGATCTGAATCTTGTATTTGTGACCCCTGTGCTTGCTCATATTTTTTTTTTTTTAATTACAGCAGAGGAAAAGCCAGCAGGGTTCACTGGGAAAGATATGATGCAAACAAGATTTTATTTTAACTGATAAAATAATACCTTTGCTGTTTCTCTTTTTGCATCAGATACTAGCTTGACACCACAGATTTCTAAAAATATAAATGTGTAGTGTTTTGTCTTTATTATGAGATGGATCAATGTGTGGTTTTGTCTATCAGTTTACTCTTTTTATGCAATATGGAGCTGTAGTCTCTAATTTTGGTGASTAGTCTTTGAGAGAAGACCCAAAACACCCCCACCTGGCATTCCTTTTAAAGTCTTGTTTTTGCAATATTTATGGAAGAATTGTTGCTTCATTCTGATGAGTGAGTCCAGSTGCTGTTGCACAGAACTTTTACCCAGTGGTTGTGTCTCTGGTGGAATCCTCCCACAGGCAGGACTTGGATCTTGCAGTTGCATTGAACAGATTTCTGTTGAAATCTAGTATGTCTAGATTTTTTTTTTTTTTATTTGGTGTTGCAAATGATAGTACAAACGGCTCATTTTCACTTAGCCCTTTTACTAGCCTAATATATTCTTCAGAAAACCTTGTATCTAGATTTAAGGGATTGAGTGGAGAGGAATTCCTCTGCAGCTTTTCATCTTGCCCTGTGTCTGCAACTGAGGAATTGCTTTAAAATGTGTTGTACTTCCACACTGAAGCTTTCTTTGTAACCCCTGTGTTTGCTAAACTGCTGGTGGGCCACATTCAGAGGCTTTTGCACATTCCTGCAGCTGSCTTTCCTGGCTGAAATCCTCGTGTTTTGTTTCAGAGGGCACAGCAATTTGCCAGYGCTGCGTTGCAAGAGCAGTGCCGACCTTCTTATGCGAAGAAAGAAATGGGGAARTTGTTTGCAGAGAAATACAGCATGGACATATCTCCCTTTGTAAGAAAAAATATAAATGARCATGAAGCTTTATTTAAATATGAACCCCCATTTGGATTTCACAAGTTCTTTGATAAACTTAACGATCTCCTTGAACTTTTGCCTGAGCATGATTTACCAGAAGATTTGAAGTCAAAACACTGTAAACGTTGTGTTGTTGTTGGCAGTGGTGGAATTCTTCATGGATCAGAGCTGGGTCAATTATTGAATCAGTTTGATATTGTTATAAGGTATGTATTTTCCATTTAAAGAGTCCAACTGCTTCATCATTACTTTATGAACCATCATTGTTTTTTTTTTAAGGGGAAAGTATCTCCAGTATTTATGCAACTTATAAGACTGTTTCTGAAAGTGCTTTTGAGAAATTTACTTGGTGGAATTAGAAGTGTTAGGAGCAGAATAAATTGTCATGTTTACAAGACAGGAATTCAGTGTAATTATTTGTGGACTCCAGGTACAAAAATCACATGGGCAGAAACTGAATAAAATTAGTAATAGTAGTTAGACATTATAGACAGGTAGACAATACTGGATTTATCCATTCACATTTTTAAGCTTTCAAATCTTAAACTTCAGGAGTTAAAGACTCACCTCTGCTTTTTTCCCCATGGCTAGTCTGGATGCCTATTTGAAGGATTCTTTTATAACAGCTATTCCAAACACAATAAAAATTAATTGGTGTTTCAGTAAACAGTTTGCTTACACACTTTATAGCACACTTATCTTCCCTTATCTTTATGATGTCAGCAGCTTCTGTGATTGCCCATGATTTCTGAATTACATGCTCTGTATTTGTGCCTTCTGARCATTACGGTTTGACTCTCCTTGTTTTGAACCATGTGAAGTCACAAATTTAATACAAGCATTTTCCCATCTTGTTTTGTAAACTAAGGCTTACTCCTCTTATAAAGGGAAGATATCATTGAGTTAATAGTTCTTATTCAAAGGTGAACAAACTGCTAGCACATGGAGGGCCAGAGGACTTGCATTAGCTGTTTTCTGAAATCAGGGCTGGCAGCATGAAGATGATTTTTCTGTTGATGTACAAGARTTTGAAGGACTTGAGCTGTTCTGCAGATCTCACAGAGGGAGGTGATGCTGTTCTTGTCACAGTGTGCCAGCATCTGAAGTTTTTGGTGAGCTGGAATGATTAAACCCACAGGAATGCATTACACTGCATTGGAGGGATAATTTGAATGATTTTTTTGTGTTGAATACTCAAGTGAATTTGTGTGTGTATGTGTATATATGTATATATATGTATTTTCATATATATGAAAAGAATAGCATGGGCAACTTTCTGAGTGTTTTCTTCCCCTTCCACTTTTAAGCCTCTCTGAGCTGGCACAAGGCARTAGATAGGACAGCATTGCAGAAATTCTAAGTCATTTTACTCTTCAAGCTTTTTTTTTGCCAAAGTTCTGCACTTGTGCCGTTTAATCCAGAAATAGAATTGGATTCCTCCCAAAGATAAGGACTGGAAGAATGAGTGAGGCAAAAAACATGGGGGTTCTGAGAAAACATTGTCGTCTGTTCTGTTAAAAATCTGTGGGCCAAATAAAAAGTTTTTACTTAGTGTCTGATACTTTAATGAGATTGTAACCTGTTTATTTATTACCTCTCCATTGTGGGTTTCTTTCCCCCTAGATTAAATGATGCTCCAGTTCAAGGCTACACGGATCATGTTGGTAACAAAACAACAATACGGATGACTTACCCCGAAGGAGCCCCCCTTTCTGAGCACGAGTATCCTCCTGCGAGCTTGTTTGTGGCTGTTTTGTTTAAAAGTGTTGATTTCAATTGGCTTCAAGCCATAATAAAAAACGAAACCTTGGTATGTAATGTGACAGTCTTAAGTACCTTTATTTTTGTTTGTTTTGTTTTCTAATGCTTAAAGAAGCTAATTGATCTGTTACTTCCTGCTTTATTGTGCTGAGGATCTTACACATAACTTTGTGGGTTTCTTTTACATAACCTTGTGTGTTTTTTTTTAGCTCGGTCTCCTAGTTACAGTTGGACCAGCATTTGTGTTGAAGCCCCATGCTGACAGTAACACTTCTTTTTTGTGCAGATATTGGTGGTTTGCACCAGACTACGTGACATACTGAGTGTTTACTAAAGGAAATTGGTTTCACATTAGGGTTAAGTGACTTGAACAAGTCTGCAGAGCTCAAAATAGAAATGAGATTTCTGAATGCCAGTCTATTTTTTCAGCAGCTAAAGTCTGTAGTGCTACAATGAGCATACGTGGAATTAACATGTAACTGAACATTTTTCTGGGGTTCCTAAATTATGAGGTTGCTTATTTCTCACTAAACATTTAAAGAAGTGCAGAGATTTCTAAGGAATTGATGTAAAGGTTTCGTGTTTCCAGCTAATTTGAACTGGTACTTCTACCTCTTTCAATTTGCAGGTAGATAATTGCAGCAAGTAGAAGTTACTGAGAGAGATTTAGAAGAAKGCCTGTCAAGTAATTTAGCAGTTTGACCTATGCTAGTTTAGATACTCCAAATTCCCTTCTTAGTTCTGTGATTTTTACAATATGAGATCATATGGAAGGTCTGTTTAATCTTGACCACGACTGTCTACTCCTACACTGAAGAGCCAGGAAGATGCTTAAGAGACTGGAACACCTCTACCACGTGGAAAGATTGATAGAGCTGGGAGTRTTTAGCCTGGAGAAGAGAAGGTGTGTGAGGGATCTTACTAATGTACGTAAATGTCTGAGGGGAGGGTGCAAAGAGGATGGAGCCAGGCTCTTCTTGGTGGTGCCCAGTKATAGGACAAGAGGCAGGGGGCACAAACTGAAACTCAGGAAGGTTCTTCAGAACATTAGGAAACACTTTTTTGTTTCTGTGATGGTGTCTGAGCGCTGACACAGGTTGCCCAGGGAGCTTGTTAAATTGAATATCCATGGATATCTTCCTCAAAAGTCAAGATGTAGTCCTGAGCATCTGACTCAAGGTCTCTGCTTGAGCCAGGGGAGATAGACCATGTGATCTCTAGAGGCCCCTTCCAACCTCCAGCTCTGATTCTGTGAACTGCAAACCTACTTCTTTCAAATACTCAGCTGTCAGTTGGCTCAGCTCTCTGTGCAGGCATTGGTACTGAAGTAAACTGATCCAGAGCATGGTCAGGAGAACAGGAGCAMTGCAATCTGTATTTTGTCAGTTCAAGCTGCTGTTCCTTAAAGCCTGTTGTAGCTCTATCAGTTTTGTCATTTGCTTAATGTTGCCTATTTCATGGAAAGACTTGTAGAAGGAATGTGATGTGGTATTTTTTTCTTCAATTAGCAGGCATCTAAGTGACTACAGTGGCATCAGAATCTGGGTCCCTGGGTTTCTGTAAACCCTCTTCTGAAGGATTACATTTATCACTAGGTRGATGCTGTCAAACAATAGCCCTTCWYTTCAAATCTTGGGCACAACTGTTTTAAATCCAGTGCTTGCTCCGGAATGCCTGGTTAATGTTTGTGGGAAACTGCTTCCCTTCCCCATTTCTTTAAAAATTGCTGCCTGCTCCGTTGTGCTGGGGTAGCCTGAAGAACCCATGGGGTGCTGGTGAATATGTTGACTGATTAACATAAAGTGCAGTCAAATATTCAGAATAAACAACTTTTCCCTCTGCTGTCCTCTCTGCAATTCCAGATACTTTGAAGGTTTTTCCTCTCTTAAGTCAGTCATTTAATCTGTRCACTGATATTTCTGAACCACCTTAGCTATAAACTGTTTCCTGAATTTTTCAGGGTTGCTGGTGAATTCTGTAACTTGTGTGCTGCATCTATCTCAGAGTTTCACTTTGAACTATATTTTTTATTTCTCTTAGCCTCTGTGGGTGCGACTCTTCTTTTGGAAGGAGGTTGCTGAGAAAATTCCTTTYGCATCAAAGCAGTTTCGGATTCTGAATCCAGTCATTATCAAAGAAACAGCTTTGGACATTTTACAGTTCCCTGAGCCTCGATCAAAATTCTGGGGTTGGGATAAGGTAAGAGGTTTCCTTTTAACAAAAGGAGACAGTAAAATACAAGGTAAATAAAATAAGAAACTGAAAAATATTTTGTGCTTTTTACTTTCTCTATGCAGTTTCAGAGCTGGTCTCAGGTAATAGGGAAATCAATGTGCTCTCAAAAGACTTGTGTTTTCTTTTGCAAAATCAAAGTCAGATTTCAGAACACCTTTTTAGATGAGGTATTTTGCCTGTGCTTCCTGACATGAAATGGCATTCAGATGCAGCGAAGCATCAACTCATTCCAGTGTTTAAAAACATGCGTTTGATGTATGTTAAGCCTGTTAGGAATGGCCCTGTTAAGCCAAACCAGCCATCAGCTGTAGACAGATGTGTTTCCAGSTGCAGGAAAAGCAGAGGGAGTCTGGAAACCAGACCAGTGTAAAGCAGCCTTGCAGCTGTTGGAATTGCTGTGTCTGCCACATTATGCTCAGTAGCAGTGATGGGCATTTCCTCCTTCCATGCCCTTTGCTCCAGCAGTGGGACAGAGTGATGAATTGCCTGSTTTAATTATACACTGCATTTTTATTATTTAATTACCTGTTGGAGAAATTGGATGTCACTATTCTCTTGARCTACAAAAAGTACATACTAACCACCAATTTTTTTTACATTTTGTAAGAAAAAGTACTTAAGATTATTGCACAAATATTTGAAGGATCCTCTCACATTTATTTATCAGTATAACATAACATACTTAGCTTGGTATCTTAATTGTACTGTAGTATATTTACTTCTTTCACAAGTTGTTTGWTAAAAAGTCATATTGTGAAGAGTACTTTTAGAGAGCCTGTTGTTGCTCAAGACTGAAATAAGTGTGCATCAAGAAATGTCAAGTTTAACTTYGTGTCAGGGGTTGTTTGACTGTTTGGAGTGAAGGTTCACTTGCAGTTTAACTACACAGTGATAGGGCATCTTGCCTTCAGAGAAAAAAAATTAGTGCTGACAGCCAAAAGCCTCATTGAAGACCTACTTAAGTTGTATTGGTATTTTGCCCTGGAGTTTTTAGTTTTACTTGATCATTGAATTGATTTTTATTTGGAGTTTTAGTTGATTTCAGTTTTGAATGAGGAGAGGGAATAGACAAAGCTGTTAAATTATGTGAAGTGTTTACAGACCTGGTAAAGGACAATGTATTTGAACTGAGCAAATTTCACTTTTCTCCCTTTTTAGAATGTACCTACAATTGGGGTCACAGCAGTTGTTCTGGCCACACATTTATGTGATGAAGTGAGCTTAGCAGGATTTGGATATGACCTGGATCAGCCCAGCACACCTTTGCACTATTACAACAACCTCTGCATGGCTGCCATGAAAGAACAAACTATGCACAACGTGACAAGTGAAACAAAATTCCTTCAAAAACTGATCAAAGAAAAGGTTGTCAAAGACCTCACTGGRGGGATACACTGTGAATTCTGCAGCAAAGACAGCTAGTGACTGATGTGCAGCATGGRTAGATTTATTCAACTCCCAGAGGTTCAGCAAGATCAACTCTTTCCCTATCTTTAGTTCCTTAAAGTGTACATAAAATAGACGTGGAATCCCTGCTGACTTTTTTAATATTCCATTCAAGTTGTCAGACTTTTAAATTAATTTTCATGCCAGATTTTACTTTGCACATTTCTGTGAATAGCTATGTAAATATGACTTGGAGTTGAAAGACATCCATTTAAAGTATTTAATGTTTTAAGTTGTCTGAATAAAAGCAGGTTATTTTTTTTTCAGATGTATATGGAACCCACGTGGCTGGCCTGAATTGTCTAACACTATACAAGAGTTATTTCCCACTTATTTACTGTCTTTGTTGATCCAGGTCTTGGTGTCTTGACTCCTTTTCATGAAAAGAAAGGCAAATGCTTCTCAAGTCTTACATGTCTTGAACTTGAGCATTGCATTTCCCCCTCAGATATTTACATTCTTTTGGTTTTGTGTTAATACATTATTTTTGGAGGTGAAGGAGAAATGTACGAGTTGAAGGAAAAGGACCTGTTGTGGCAACAGAGTAGTAACTATTTTCATGATGGATGTTAAAATCATTGCTGTATTAATGTATTGGGTTAGAATCCTGCTTTGTGAAGCGTGGTTGGGCCCAGGGCACTCCAGAGGGGGATTTAGCCAGGAGRAGGCTTGAACCCAAACCAGGTCCTTTGTCATTTCCACTCCTGAAGACCCATCTCAATGTTTCTAACTAGATGATTTGCAGCAGAGTTCAACTACCCCAATTAAAGAAGTGGCATTAATACAAAATATGCCCCTTTAAATTTATTTTTTGAGTGACTTAAGAATTGCTGGTTCTATAAAATACTAGTTTGTATGAATCATGTAGCAATCTATGACAAAGTTACAGTTTTCACTGGTTAGCTTGATGATCCTTAAGTAATTAATTATAGATATTGTCACCTTTATCATTTGCAATGCTGATAACCCTTGTGAAGTCCATATGGACCTTTTCATTGGAGAGGTAAAGTTGTTGCTTTTTCTCCAGGTCATTGGATGAGTGTGTAAGTTAAGAAGAAAATCACTTTAAAAAAGTAGTATAATCTAGTAACAAGCTAGATAACTACTGAAAACAGCATATTTTAAAAAAACAAAAAGAGAAAAGAAAGCTATAGATGTAAGTTCTTGGGAGTGGAAATCAGTTCACTGCAAAGACACTGTGCAAATCTGTAAGCAAGTTTTTATGTTAATTTTAATTTTGTTATTAGTAGAGTATCAGGTATGACTGTTTGCACTGAGGAGTGGTGTTAATCTACAGTATGTGAAAAGCTTTCTTTGGATCTGAAAGCTTGTTAGCAAATTGATCAAAGGTTGGCCTAGAAATGTCATTCATAGTCATGGACTCTTCACATGGTCAATGTTCYCACTTGTTTTTTTTTGTTATGGACAAAGATATGAATGTAGTTGTAGTTCCAGATTTTCAAAATACTCATGTGGAAATGCCAGATTAGTGTGGCTGTGTTTTGGTTTTTTATTCTGTGGAGAGAAGTTCTAATGAATGATGATGCTAGAATGCAGGAGCAGCAGTCTGATGCTCACTGTTTTATACTAAGAAGCCATAAAAGGACATCAGATCATAAAACATATCTGAATAAAGTTGTGATCCTTATCTTTAGTAAGTCCCACATACCTACACATCCTTGAAAGTCAGTTGTGGGTAGTGAACAGATTTGAAAATTAAAAATTCTTGTCTCTGGCACTGTCTGTGTTCATAGCAATAATATTGATCTARCCTCCTCCTCCATGAAAAGCATAATTTTTATACTAGCAATAAATTTCTAGTATGRTTTTTTTTTTGTAAGTCTATTATATTATTTAATTTAAAGATATTTCATGTGTGAAGAGTTTTATACAAATAGTCTTTTAGTTAATATATTGAAATGTGGTAACTATTTTCTCCTGGTATTTAAACTGGAAGCAGAACACCTTAGTTTCAATTARTAATAATGAAATTTTGGAAGATTTCAGAACGCCTGTGTTGAGGGAATGTCCTGAATACACCCGAAGTCTGTGTTTCTGAGCACCTGGTCCCTCACCGGTTTGTTTTATTCAGCAACTTAAAAATAATCAGTTGATTAATGTAAATGCCAATAGCTTTTTGGAGATGCTGTATGTACTGTCAAATTCTCAAATTATGTTGATGTAGAATCAGATTTCCTACCTGGTTTATGGCTTGTGATAAAACCTTGTTCCCCATGGTAATCTGTGCAAACTTGACACTCCATTAAATGACAGCAAAAAGCAATAAACTGATGAAACCACTTCTTATTTATGTGTTTCTTGCTCAGTTTGTCATTTGTTCTCCCTCCTTTATTAAGGATTTTGTATGTCCTGCTGATCCAGTGGAAAGTCTTGATGCAAATCCCAGGCACCCAAGAACAGTAGAGGTAGTAGCTGGTAACTTTTTCTCTGTTCATTTATGCCATTTAAATACCTGTCAGTGGGATTATCTGTCTGGTGCTTGGAAGAGAAAATACCTCTCAGCACTTCCAGGATTTTGAACTTAACGTGGATGAGAATATTTTGGATTGGGTTATAGCATTGGCCTTAACATTAGGGGTGTATCTCCTTCAATGCTGTTAACAGACTGCAGCTTCTGGTCTGTGCCTCAGCCTTGCTGGAAGCGAGATAAGAACAAAGCTCTGTGTGTTCTGTTGCTCTATCACAGATTTATGCTTTGCAAAGGATCTGCATCGTCCTTTGTAAAAAGGCCTTAATGGTGTTTGGTTAAAAAGTCTCCAAAAAAGTTTAGGACCTGTGATAAAGCCGTTGTGTTCCACATCACATTCTTTGTAACTCCCTTCACAGCATCTTTCACAATCCGGGATGTGCCTGATCTATTCTGGTGCTGATTTTTTTTCTGGGTTCCTGTGCAGGAAGTTGCTCAAGGAGACAGACGGAGCTGCTTGGCTGTGGAGTGGGGAAGTGCCAAAAARGGTGGCTGCGGTCTGTCCCTGGTTGGAATCGAAACTGGATACTGAGTTCATAGGAACTGCTGATAAGGAACTGARGAGCAGTCAGGCTCTCCAGTGCACGGTTGTGTGTTGATGGCTCCAGTGCTTGTGCTGCAGTTGGAATTCCAGCAGGARAGGGGAGGGCACCGGGGGAGGTGGCTGTGTTAGCACCAGTGGGATTCCTTTGCCTGTGCCAAGGGAGGGTGAAGGAAGAGCACCTGTTAAGGACAGCTCAGATGTGATGCTGTGGCTTCCTTCCTCCGGCCTGTCAGCAGCAAGGTTTATAAAAGTGCTTGATTTTAGCAGCTTAGGAAAAGGTTCTTCCCCCAGAGGGTGTTTGGGCACTGAACAGGCTCCCCAGGGCAGTGGGCACAGCCCCAGCCTGACAGAGCTCCAGGAGTGTTTGGACAATGCTCTCAGGCACAGGGTGTGACTCTTGGGGATGGTGCTGTGCAGGGCCAGGGGTTGGATTGCATGATCCTTGTGGGTCCCTTCCAACTGAGGATATTCTGTGATTCTGTGAAATGTAGGTASATCCTGGTCAAAAGAGCTTGGAGCCATTCTGCACCAGCCTTGTCCCAGATCTCCTGGGGTGCTGGAAGATAAACAACCCACTCCTAGAGTCCCTAAAGTGCTTAGTCACACTGTGCCTAATGCCTTGTGTCTCTAATTGTCCTTTTGAGCTACACAAACAGTGCTTTTCTTGCCTGCTTTCTGTCAAGCTGGAGTACAAACTGTCGCATGTGACTGTCTCAAGGATGTGACAGCATCAGTGGCTGCTCTCATGGTCAAGGTAGGAGACAGGTGTTAAATCAACTCTGCTATGACTACTCCTGTGGTTTATATGGATGTGAAAAGCCAGGAATTGACAGAATTGAGTTTTCAGGTGGGGGAATGGAGAGGCAGGGCCCATAAATTTTCTTATTCTCTTCAGTTACCTGCTTGTTCCGGCAGATTTACCCTTTTCTCCGTGTCCAAGCACTTGTGCATCACCTCATTGTGGTTTCACAAAAATCCCCAAACACACCTGTGACTGAATCTTGACTGAAATTCTGATGTCTGTCAACACTTGTATTTTCCAACCTGTAAACTGGAATTAGAGCTGTTCATGCCTGGAGGGTTGAGCAGGGCTGAACATACATAGTTTACCTCCCTTTGGGGTCATCTGCCTGGTCATTTGTTTTCACAGCCTCCCTCTCCTGTGCTCAGGCCAAAACCAACTTCTTCCCAAGTTCCTGCATGTGCCAGAAAGGAGAACAAAGCCTYCTTGTTCAGTGCAGCCTCTCCTGCTCCCTCCTCGTGGGCAGCGAGGAGCCCTGACCTCTGGAAAGGGGCACTTCTGGAGCTGCTTGCTGGAAGGGGCTGCCAAGGCTCAGATAGAATGTGGTGGACCAGCTGGAATCATCCCTCTAACAAAGGAAAAATAGAAATCCAAGCAGCCCCAGCAGGGGTGAGCATCACATGCTTCTCTCTCAGTGATCTTTGTGTTCCTGCTGTGTAGCTAAAATAATCATTCCGTTGTTCAAGGAAGTCTTATGCTCCAGCTTGGGAAGCAAAAACAATGCTCTTTGGAAATTTCCCTCCTTTTCCAGCCTTTTTCTACCTGATCTGAATTAWAAAACTCCAAACAAAACCATTTTGCAGAATCTGGAGTTGCTTGCCCACCACCTTTAGCTGAGTTAAGGATGAGGAGACGTGAGGACCTGGTGGAGCAGACAGAGATGCTGCGAAGAAGTTTTAACTCTGTAAAAGCTGGATTGCTACTCATTGGTGTTTTTCTTTGCATCCCTTTTGTTTCTACTTCCTTTATTGGTGGCCATCAATATATTTTGGGGTTTTAATGCTATTTTACTCTTTTCTCTGCCCCTCCTGTGTGTCAGTCTCTCGGGCTTCTTCTCAGCTGGAGAATTTCAGGTAGAAATGGTTTGTGCTCAAGTGCTACAGCATTGGCTGCTGAATCAAGTGTCTGCAGCAGAAAAAAAAGTGAGAAAAGGACTTGGGGAAACAAGGGTTATGGTGGGGAGGAGGTTTGGGATAAGAAGGTGTGGAGAAGCAAGTGGTAGGCTGGAGAAGACAGGAATAGTCACAGTTTTGATCATCTGAGTGCAGCCTTAGGAATGTTTGCAGCAGGACTGTAGCTGCCAGGATCAGCCCTCCATGTCACTGTGTGCCTGGACCTCTCATGCTGCTCTAACATAAATGACCACAAAATATCTCAACAAAAATCTCTGGCCCACTTATCCTTTCCACTGAGGAGATGAGAAGCTCTTGAAAAGCAGCTGGTGTAACTTTTCAGGCCTTGGTGTTGCAGGACGTGGGTCCTGGGCAGTTTTAAAACCGCTTTGTGCTGCTCTGTCCAGGAAAGAAGTGTACAGGATACCATTCTTCACATCATGCCTTCTTAGTGCAAAATCTTGACAAAGAAAGAGTTGGTTTGTTCCATCAGTTAAGTACCAAGATTACCATGAGCATTTTTGGTTTTATGGCTGGATAGAGAGGTCTGGGTTATTTTTAAGCAAGTYCTTTCCTATTTGTAGACACAGCTAATTGGGTCAGATCATGGCTTAGCTCAAAACCCCAAGGAGTTTTCCTCTGCATGGTCATGAGACTCTGAGCCCTGTCACCACTTCTGCTGCCTGGTTTTGTCAGGCTTGATTTCTAAGCCTGTTCTGTGACCCACCTAGCACCTAACCCGTGCTCCCAGCTCTTGGGAAGATTTAGACTGGTTTGTGCTTGGCAAGGGACAGAGGTGCAGACACCCAGTAGCTCTCAGGTATCTTGGTCCAGCTCTCAGACCATCAATGGACACTTTGTCTCAGAGGAAGGAGAATTTAGAAATAATATCAATACAGGTTTTGCTTTGTTCATGCCTACACAGATGAAAGGAATTGAATTTGAATTTGTAGCTCTGAAGCCTGGTGGGACACTTGGTGGATGGCTTGGGCTGGAACCTCCTGCTACAGCGAGATATCCCCAGCCATTCCTTCTAAACAGCTCAGGCTGCGTTAGAAATGTCAATGACTTTAAATTCCTGGAATCAAAAAAGCTATCCCCCTGCCTAACAACGACTCGGGGGCTCGCAGGCAAGAGATGCTGAACTTCATAATTGTGGTATGAAAGCAGATGAGGTGAAATGTCCATGAAAGGAGGGGTTCCCCGTGATCGGGAAATGCTTCCAGCTGAAGTTCTGGGAGGATTTTCCGTGTGCGGAGGGACCGGGAGCGAGGAGCGGGCGCGCAGCCCCATCTAGTGCCGTGCCGGGATGCGCGCAGGATGTGCTGGGGTTCCCGAGCTGCGATGCTCCGGTCCGAGGGATCAAAACGGGAAAAATCCTTAACCCCGAACGCAAAACGTGCAGGCTGGGTGCTGGAATGCAAGCCTGAAGTGCAGGGCATGGGAATGAGCCGCTTTGCTTGCTGAGTGGAGTTCAGGATAAAGGGTTTATCCCGGGTACAGTTTGGTGGAACGGAGCAGTCTCCAGCTCTAGAGGGAGCGTTTCTACTCGTGTTGTTGGTTGCTCTATTTTTCGGAGAGCTGTGCTCATGCACGGAGCTCTGTTCAGCCTGACTCAATCCTCCGTGCCTCCAGAGAAACTTGGAGGGCAACAAAAATGCCGAGATCTCCGAAAATATGGCTGGCAAGGATCCTTGAGCAAGCAGAGACCAATTAGTCCAGAGGAGATGCTGCAAAGGGTCAACAGCAGAGAGACCGATTAGTTTCTTCCCTCTGCATCCATCATTCTGGGGAAAGGATGAGAAGTAACGGGCATAAACAGCATCCTGGGAGGTTTAGGYTCAATAAAGGGATTTTTCTAACATGAGATTAGGGAAGCATTAGTGTGAATTGTGCTGGGAGGCCTTCCAGCGCTGGAAAGTTTGAAGAGGGTGTTGGATAAGCTCCAGCCAGGACTGTTTGAGCTGCAGCTGATCCCACCGTGGGCAGGGGATGGATTTAGCTGTCCTGGGGGAGGAAGGGAGTGCTCTTTCCAGCCTCTCTCTTTGCCCTTTTGATTTGATGATGCTGGGGTTGTGGTTACTCACCCTTGCTCCTGAGGCATTTTTGGCTCATTTTTTCTCATGAAAAAGTCATAGAATTGTGAATGGACTCTGCATCAAAAGCTGATGCTGGGATAGAGGGGAGGGAATGCAAGTCCTTGATTCAGAAGGAGCTGCGAGTCTAACCCCACCATGGCTGAAATTAGAGCATCTCCTGGACAGATTTAAWATGTACAATCCTGGAAAAAGCCTCTTAACAACATGTAGAGGTTGTTATTTAGTTGGAAATGCATCTTCAGGCATGTTT